CTCAGGATCCACTCCCAATTTCAGTGACCGACGCTGTTATGACGTCGTTCAGACTGCCCGTCTGCTATTATGCCACCATTCGATACTGTCTCTTCTTAATTCCCGTTACTCAGGCACATCTCAGGCCACCCACACACCCACGCACACGAATATATATATATATATATATGCATTAATGCATACATACACACGCACATACATATATACATAAGAACAGACATATATGCATACATATATACATACACACATATAGATACATACATACATATATACTTAAATACATATATATATATGATAAAAGTTGTAGTAGGATATGTGATATGAGTTTGGCGAATATACGAGGACAGAACTGTTCAGCAGATGGTTGGCCAAGGTAGGGACTAGATTTGTCACTGACGTGTTGTAGTCCTGTCCTCATAGTGGTCAAGCTCACTTATGCTACCGACTTAACTTCACGAAATGTTGCGAATTTACGGTTCGATGATGTAAATTGTCATGGCAACTGTGCAAGAGGACTCCAAACGAGGTGGATTCATTGAGGTCACCTTGGCAACATGACCAAGTTTGGTTATAAAGTTCTTATTCAAGCAATACTGATACTCTCAAAGCATACTCACACAGTAGATGCCCAGAATAACATTCATTCAGAATTCGGCTAGCACACAACTTTAGGCATCCATGCTCGGATGAGCCTGAGTCACTTACACCACAAGAATCGACCAGAGTATACTCCAGGATGTGCAAATTTCCCAGAATTCCCCCGGCTTCCTCAGTCGGTTCTGAAGGCAATGTATATGACTGGTTTCTGGGCACAGTTTCCATCCCTACTCGGTCTCCGCCGTCTCGGAGGCAGAGTTGCAACTGCTCAACAGAGGGAAGCAAAAAAAGCCTTGCGGGTGTTCGGTCTAAAGGACAGAGTCCGTCCGCCTCTGGTGATTTGTGTGGGCCAACTTGCGAAAATCTGCTTCCATATAGCTTTTCATCTGGCTCCCATTTTCACAAAACTCCTCCAGAGGGGACTCGGACTTCACACAACAGACCTCATTGATGTCAGAAATTGCAGCTCCCGTTAAGAGCCCTCAGATCAGAGTCAGTCTCCAAGCAACGACCAAACTTTTAAGTACCATATCCACGGATCCCTTTGACTACAATAGATACTTATTCTATCAATCCGATGGGGGATAATTTCGACAAGTGAAGTCGCTTGGGTGCAAACATGATCGGGTGGATGAATTCGTCTGCCCTCAGACCTAGACTTTCGGTGCATACCAATGCGGGATTGTGTGTTTGTGTGTATTAGTGCATGTGTATAAATGTGTATGCCGATCTTTTGATGTCTCCATACAAGTGAAGATGGACATGGGCATAAAGCAAAGCAATTCAACGAGTATGAATGCATGCCGAGGCAATGGGGAGTGAAATTATTCCTCTTCCTTTTATGTTCCGAGCTAGGACCCCTCCCAGTCTTGACGCAAAGACTGCTTGTCTCACCCCCCCTCGTACGACGCCCCCAACGTCTCATGTACCACTCGGCGAATGCCCCCTCACCTCCTGTCAGCCCAAACCTCACGTGCTCACGTCTTCTGTCAACGCAGACTAGCAGATGCTGCCGCAAAGACACACACAACCGCCCAGAGCCTCCGGCCCCAGAGCTCGACAAAGCGTATGATACACCTTTGCAGAGGCTGAGTTTACAATGACAGTCAAGGCCGTCTAGTGTGGCAAGCAACTGTCAGCAATTTGGTGAAGTCTACTGAGAACAATACAAGTGAAATTATAAGCTGTGAGTTGATGATGGTGGCAGACCTACAGGTGAAATGTAATAATAGGTTCTGTCTATCGTGTCTAAGCAGCGGACGAAACGGGCTAGAGGCGGAGGGCCGTGTACATTGGGAATGTGCAAGCGCATTCGGAAAGAACAAGAAGTAGACTCTCGTCAACTTTTACTTTGTAGTTGGTAAGAGCTGGTTTAGTTAGTTGGTCAATGGCGCAAGGAAATGAGGGCAAATCTGCATATTTAGCAAATTTATTATCCAGCCTTAATAGTTTTAAAGAATTCAAGAAATCGTTGCAATGATTGTCATTGGATTGCGTCTGCATGGACCGTGAAGACGCCTCAAATGTCAGGATACCAGACTGTCTCGTCTCAATGGAAAGTAGTAACACACGAACTTGTGGGACATCTGCTCATTTGGGCCTGTATCAATAGCAAAGTAAACCAAACATGCGCCATACTTGTCAATACGCACAATCCCCAAATGTCCGCCAGCCTGGATCATTTAATCGGATGTAGGTACTTATTTCATAATAAGAAGAGATATGATGTCGGAAATTATCGTTACCACACTGGCAGATGATGCTGGATAGGGTAAATTCCAAAAAACCTATGTGTCAGTCCGGCCGAGTTCTGAAAACTAGGCTATATCAATTTTACAATTATACATTTCTACTTCGTAGTCCCTACTTCGTACTATCTAGTCTACCGTACAAAGAAGGCAGGTCGAAGGGATTCATAGATTGACCTTACCGGATATGGTAGAAGGGTCGCCTTGGATTGTTGTCTACTGAACTGTGCGAAGAAGACTTCGGCTCATCGACATACGACCCCGACGACTCCGTCCGTCATGTGACCAACATCGTCAGAGCCAGAAACCATTATTCTCGAAAAATCACCAAAAACACTAAACCGAGAAAGGTGGCCAACTGAGATCCTACTCGTTTCTAATGCCTCACTTTGCGATCTTAATGAGGCATCCCATGATTTGGTTGGTTGTTTTATGCTTGTCTTGCATGCAAGGAAACGGGTCTAAGTGATGTAGGAAAAGGAGCGGATGTGCCAACAACTTTTGTCTACGTGAATATACTAAAGTATGCTACAGTAGTCCTGGATCTTGTTACAGCTTCGTGGATGAGTATTTGCTTGTGTATGCAACATTCTCGAGATGGTTGACAATTTTAGGCTCGAAAACAGCTTATTTTTCGTACATAAGTAGAGTTTCGAGACTCCAGCTTAGTCTAATCTTCTCCTCCTGTTCCCTTTCCTTCTCTCTCTTTCTTTCCCTATCTCTCTCTCTCTCTCATTCTATATAGAAGCCAGATATAGTTCTTACCTAGTTTCCTACATTTATTTATCTTATTCAGGATGTTCATTGTTTTATTACTTCAAGTTGATTCTCCGATCTTCCGTTCAGTTGTGAAGTCCCCATATCCTTTAAAACGTTGGGATTTAGGCCACTCTATCTTGTGTCCTGTAGCGACCACGTGTTCAGCCACTTCAGATTTCTGAATCCATTAACCTTTGCAGGTGGTTGTGTGTTTTGATAGCCTCCCCCACATAAACTCTAGCACATGAGATCAAAACCTTTTAGCAACCTGATCTGTAGAAAGCGTCGGAAGATTCTCTAAAACAAGGCCTTATCGAGGAAGCAATATTGTTTTTTTATACATTGTCTTGACACTCCATTTCGTCAATAATTCGCCTATCTTTCTTGAAAGCTTGAAGGAGGTTAGAATTAGGAACCTGGACGAAGAGTTGCCTAATTCCTTGGTTTGTACAAAATAATTGTTTTCCTTCACCTTTTTTCTCAATATTTTGAAATTGTTAACAATTTAACAGCTACGATTTTTCTCCTGTTCTTGATTATGTACGTTCGCTAGGCACAAACTCCTCAGTATCATTGATTTCATTACGCCTACCTTAACACCATAGGTATGGTTCGAGAAGAAATTAAGAAGGAAACCCGCCTTTATGGGCTTCCTATCTGCATATCTACCCAGTTTGTTCCCTTCTTTAATAAGCAGGACATCTAAAACGTGTAACTTACTGTCCTTTTCTAACTCCATAGTGAAGTTAGTCGCCTTATCTATTCTATTCATTAACGCGAGAAAATCATGCAAACATTCTGCCATGCTGCCAGATAGCAAAGTAATCATGCATATTTCTGACCAATAGTTTCGGAAGCAGGAATGACTCTTGAAAAAGCCAGACTTCCAATTGATCCATGCAGCTAGTAGCTAAAATTGGAGGCAAACACGATACATAAGATGCTATCAGAACAGAGAACCACCTGCAAAGGTTGATGGATTCAGAAATCGGATGTGACTGAACATGTATTCGCTACAAAACACCAGATAGACTGGTCTAAGTCCCAACACATTGCCGGATATGGGGACCTCGCAACTAAGCGGAAGATCAGAGAGTCAATTGAAAGTAATAAAACAAAGAACATCATGAATAAGAACTATCTCTGGCTTCTACCTAGAATGAGAGGGAGAGAGAGAGAGAAGGAAAGGGAACAGGAATAGCCAGTGAGTGAGAAGAGAAGACTAGACTAAACTGGAGCCTTTTTTTGAACCTAAAATTGTCAACCATCTCGAGGATGTTATATACACACTCAAATGCTTATCCACGAAGCTGTAACAAGATCTAGGACTACTGGAGCATACTTTACTATGTTCATGTAGAAACAAGTTGTGGCCACATCGCTTCCCTTCCTACATCACTTAAACCCACTTACATGCATGTAGGACAAGCATAAAGCAGCCAAACAAATCATGAGATGCCTCATTAAGATCGCAAAGTGAGCTATTAGAAGCAAGTAGGATCTCAGCTGGCCACCTTTCTCGGTTTAGTGTTTTTGGTGATTTTTCGTGAATAATGGTTTCTGGCTCTGACGATGTTGGTCACATGACGGACGGAGTCGTCGGGATCGTATGTCGATCAGCCGAGGTCTTCTTCGCACAGTTCAGTAGACAACAATCCAAGGCAACCCTCCTACCGGTTAATCTACGAATCCCTTCAATCCGCCTTCTTAAAAGAAATGAAAGGTACGCCAATATCAATCTATTAAGGTGTTCTTCGTAACCAAGTTTCCTTTCATATACTCTCATACAAATTTTAATATTATATTATATTATATATATATATATATATATATATATAAGGAGAGTTGCATGAGGCGTGAAATAACCAAATCATACACTCTCCATATATATATTTGTGTGTGTACTTTAGGACAATCAACTAAAATTGATACCACTAGGGAATTAGTGTATAGTTGAAGATCTATTCTCACTCGTCAGGGTTTAATTACCTGCTGTTGAGCCTCACTCCGATTACACAATGTCAAATTTAGGTATAGTTTAGCTGATGAACTTAATGGTGTTTGCGTGAACTTACGTATATGGAAAGGGTAAATTTTTTTCCTACTTCCCTTCCTGACTCTAGTGTATTTCTTATTTGCATAATTTCGATGTAATCTCTAATGCTGCTCTTAGCATCAGACATCCCATAAGTAGCACTATTTTACACATAAGACCATTCTTATTCATGTTCATGTTTTGTCGTTTGCCCGGCCACCTTTGATCGTTGAACTCAATAACCTCTTGTTAGCCACCCTTTGTCTGATCGGACGGCCGAATAAGGTTATCTCGAGGTCAGCGTCAAAACAGAATATTTGATTAAAGCCAAACTTCAACAGGCCGAGATGAATCCACTATCTTTTTTTGGTAGATTCGGCCCTTCGAATCCATTCTTCACAAACATTAACTCGAAATTGAAGTAAGCTCCATAGTCCTACAAACTATCCAACTATTGAACTAGCAGCCAAACTATAGCTGGAGATGTGATGAACCCATAAGCTCAGTTCGTTTAGGAAACAACTCGGGGCGAGTTGCAACTTAATAAGGGAAGCAGAAATTTGCATTTTCTACCTCTCTAGACTCCTGCTAGTTCGGCAGCCGGCAGGGAAACCGCATCGGCTGATTTCCTACCTCGACTTCAGTGTGTGGGTTCTAGTCCTAGGGCTGAAATTAGTCTATTTAAAAAGTGATTGAAAAGACATGGGCTTTATTCCTTTCCCTCGAGGATTTTTGGGCTATAGGAGGCCTCATCTTCATTGGATACGCCTACAAGTTAATGATCGCAATGTAATGAAGAAGAGAATGCAGGTAAACTGAATAATTGCAGGTTTCGTTTTATCTGCGAAGTTTTTAAACGCTGCTAGAGACGAACTTGCGATGGCACTTCATCTTTTCTCGGAGGCAGAAATAAATTATGTTGGCCTAAATCAAAGGTTAACTCTACTATTAGTATACCCTACTCGGACTTTTCCCATACAAAGCAATAACTCTACAGTTTTTTAGGCCTAAACAGTCAGAATAAGAAGAAATCACAAATTATGCATCCAAAGATTGCAGCCTCCCTACCTAGTATGATTGATACTGTCTGCTTGAAAACGCAACACGACGAACCGATGCTGGCTCTACTGTAAACCCGCATACATACAACCAAAAAACTGACCTGTGTATTAAAGCAAGTAATCATCATAGTAAAAGATGCCAAGCATTCGATTGAAGGAGGTTACCAACTCTGGCCTGCCCGGAAAAGTGCGTTAGCTAAAGCGATTAGAGAAGATGAAAGCTGAGGTAGGGTTGTGTTCATTTTGGTGCATTGACTA